GTGCACCTGATTTGTAAGCTAGATGAATCCCTGTATTTTCACATAATTGTGAAAATGGAAACTTAGTTTTATTCCTTTTAATACTGGCTTGTATTCAGCTACACTTGTCTCCCAGTGGTAGTTCCATTATTCTCACAAACTTATGTTCAGAATAACAGCAGTAGTTCTTCAAATGGTCCATTATGAGCAAGATGAGGTATCTTTAATTTATTTTCTGGAAGCATATACTCCCAATAATTTGACAATTTACTCAGAAGGTGATTTGAGCTCTGCAGGGGAATTGCTTACGTGTGCTGTGAATATGGATTAAACCTGTAGTAAGCAAATGACACTTTAGTCTGTCCCAGCACAATGGCAAGCACTGGTATGTGTTCTGCTGCTAAATAAACATTTCACTTGGTAGTTTAACTGTTAGAAATATAATATCACGTAGTTTTGGAATAGGATTCAACTTGCATCTTTGAAAAGGGGAAATAGTCTTCTTTGAAGAAGATAACTGAAACAACTGTAACAAACTGCTTATTAAAATGTGTCATGCTGTCTTCTAACATTATTCAGAGTATGCCCATTCTTAGTAGTTATATGACTTTGTCTGTAGGCGTGATTTTTCTTTAACTACACTTAGATTATTATTCTATAATATCTGGAAGTGATTTCTGTTTTTTCAGCTGTTAAGCACACAAGGCTCTCTGCATTCAATAATTTTATCAGTCCATCTTTTAGAAATACTCCTCAGGGAAGGTGCTCTCTCTTTGTTTTCTCTGAGCTGAACAGTCACTAATCTCGTTTTTCTCCCTTCCTTTGGATGCAGACAACAATAATTTGGGATGCTCACACAGGAGAAGCTAAACAGCAGTTTCCTTTTCATTCAGGTAATTTCTGCATCACTCTTGTTAGTAAAATGAGATGTATTTTTTCATTTTGTCAATGTAGTTTACCCTTTTGTAAAAACCTGTCTGCCTGATAGAAGATTGAACTAGGTTTTTTGTACTTTAACTATCTTGAGTATCATGGCTTGTGGGTTTATTCTTTTTTCAGAAGATGGGGTTCCATGAGAATCAGCTTTGAAAGTCAAACTGATTCTAGGAGAGGACTTACACACCAGCCATGTTTACTTAGTGGAATAATTCTATCATTATCTATGTGCTTGAATAGTACCAAGTAGTGATTTATGAAGAGACTTTGGTGGAGGTGTCTGGATCTGTTGCACTCTTTTTCTGCTCCTGTTGTAATGAAGCTGACTTTAGGCAGAGACAGACACATTTCTCATGCAGCTTGCATTCACCACTGCAAGCTTGAAGGCCCTCAGGGATTTGTTAGCTTTTACTTTTGACTTGAAGTTCTTAAGTATTTTTCTCTGATTATCAGAAGTCACTTGCCAACTTTGAATTTCAAAACCTTGCTGCACCAGAACTTTACATGAATGTATGTAGATCTGGTCTGCTTCAAGAAACAGGAGATGCCACAGATACTAAGTAATCTTGAGTAACAGGCAATTACAGATATAATCTTAAATTCACTTAAGAGCAGACTTGTAAGATGATGATGGAATTCATGATCCAAACTGGGTAAGTGGTAATAGGAAAGTTTTGGTAAGGGTCATAGTCATAAACAGAGTTTAAAACCACCGAAACATTCCATATTCTGTTGCTAGAAATGTTCATATTCCTGTGTGTTCATTGTAACAAATAAATTTTTAAATACAGTAGACTTTCACAAGGTGTTTTGTGGTGTTTTAAAACACATATTTTACTACTAATTTTAAACCATTAACTTGCACACACTTTCCAGCTCAATTTCTACTTGTCATGATTCTCACATTTTCACAGATGTTATTAATATGCAGTAGCAATTGAAGTGGTTAATCAACAGAAGAAGTATGTCCATGAGCACAGCAAATCCATACTCTGCATTTTTGTCACTCATCTTCTTGCTTATTAATGTAACTGTCAGTTTGGAGGAGTCAGTATCTGCTGACAGATTTTCTCACTGTGGCATTTATTTATCTATCATAACTGTTTCATAAAAGCAAACTTTGTACTATATAGTGATGTAGTTAATGAGACTCTTAAGCCTTCTGATCCCTAACTATTGATCTAAGTAATTGTGAATTCAGAATCTGGTTACCCCTTCAGAATCAAGTTCACTGACATGCAGCTGTCTTTGCAGTGATAGGCATCAAGGGCAAAGCACTCCATTCCCCTTTTAGTAAGTTTAAAACTTACCTACATCTTCCAATGCAATATGCCAATGTCCATCTGCATGAATAGATTTTTTAAAGACTCTCGTTCATGCCGATTGTCTTTAGACCAGAAGACACAACTGAAGTGGAGATGGTAGAGAGGCTAATTCTTTTTCCTCCATTATTTCAAATCTATTATCATAGGGAAGTAAAGCCATTAGCTAAGGAAATTGTTGATAGACCAGAAGCGTATGTCCTACAAAAAGCCCCTTAAAATCAGCTGAAATCTTTGTCCTTCAGGTCTAAAGTGACAAAGACCTCACCTTGTCCTCCTTGCATCAATTACTCACCAGAAGAAGCTAACAGCAAATTCCTTTCCATATCTGGAATCTGAAAACCCTGTATACACAAGGGATAAAGATGGCATTTTAACAATTGGAAGTCTACTCCAGACAGAGCCGAGTTCCTTTAACAATCCTTTCAACAGTTGCTTCAGACTTTTTACTCTCAGCTACTTTACAACACCTTGTTTACTGTACAACCATATGGGGGAAATTGTCCTCTTAAAATACATAAGGAAGACTGATCTGGGTCTTGAAGGCCCCTTTGATGTTCCCATGTAAATGTAAGGGTTTATGGTCAAAATACACAAGTATATGGATAAGTAGCTTCTAGGGTTTCATTATTCTTTGCAAAGCTATGAGTCATAATAAGGCATTTGATCAAAATATGTATTCACAAAGCTTGTTTATTAAAAATGCAGTGAAATAATCCAATTTTGACATCTGTTGATAGATGTGGACTGATGTCTATGCATGCAGAAAGCAACTGGTTAAGTGATGCTATAGGAGGTATTTGTATGACCCAGTTTTAGATGTCTAAGTGCTCTGAGTCGCTCTCTGCAGACAGTTAACTCTGTCACCTTCTGAGCTTCTGAGTCACACCTAAGTTTGTTTAGAAAAAGCTTAAATTAACTAACAATTGTTGTAACACTCTTATTGTTGGATTTATTTTAACTGCATTTTTAAAAGAATTTGTTGCTGCTTGCAACAGTTGTTGCTGTATCAGATGGCATTCTAATTGTTTCTATGCAGTTGGCTAGTATCCTGTGGTTTTGGAGACACTTTGCAATTTGATTACTTGCATCAAAAAACACATTTGGTTGTTTCTTCCAGACTATCTTATGGAGTTACTTATCCAGCAAACATATGATTAAATACACCAAGTAATGAAACAATAGTAATTATCAATACTGTGTGATTCAAATTACGCTGCAATGCAAAGCTGTCCTTTTAGTTGCCAATAGCTCTCAGAAAATTACTGTTCAACTCATACATATCACAGTTGATATCAGCCTTGAAGGCATTTTGCTATCAATGAAGACAGATTTTTGTTTGCTCTGAAACAGTAATAAAAAGCTTGCAGCATAATAAGGAAAACAAACAGGCAATTATAGAAACAAAATCCTTTACTGTTTCCGAATCCCTTTTCGTGTTCATTGGAAAACTCAGGAGTAACCTGCTTTCCTCACACAAATTTGTATATTTCTGCAGTGTAGAAAATCCTTACCTGCCACACAGAATTACTGAGCTTTTTCTTTAATATTCTAAAAAAATACTTCTACATGAAACAATTTCAGCCTTCCATTCTCGTTTAGAAAGCCACCTCATTTTGAAGGTGCCATAGGTCAATCTCATTTTGCATTTCATAAAAACTGTAACAGGAAAAAACATATTTAAATATAATAAGCTTGGCAGAACAGATACCTTTTTGCCTTTGTATTATAAAACTATTTTTCTGAATGTATTTGAATAAGGCATTTCTTGGTTTCATTTTAATGATAAGCATGCATTGTAATGTTGCCAGAAAGAGATTCAAATTTGCTTCCTATATGCTGCTCTCATTCTGACACACTTGCTTCTCACAGGAGTGTGCCAAGAATGAAGATTTCTGTATTTTAACAAGTCTTATGTCATCCTCTGGAGGGCAGCTAAAGTCTTCCCTAAGCAAAAAAACAAGCAGCAGTCATAGGCACAAAAGCAAGCTGTATGTCAGGAGATCCCTCCTGCTCTTGTGCAGGCTTTTACTCTTCAGTTACATGCTGTAAAAATTGTGGGCTTTTGGCTTTTTGACCCTTTCTGCACAGTGTATGTTGCACACAGATACTAGTTACATGTTCATGTACAATGTCTGTACAAAGTTTCCCAAGTTCAGTCCTAGTTAATGTCAGACTGTCTACAGAAAATCTTCCTCTTGTATCAAATCAGCTTGACCAATGTACCTATCTTAAATCAGTCCCTCACAAAATTAAACTGGATGTAGGTATTATTAATCCACATACCTGCACATAACAATAGGTTTGCATCGATGGTAGCATAAAGCTAGTGCAAAGGAAGATGTCCACCTGCTTCTTCCTCCCTTGTGTCATGTCTGGCATTTACAGGAACATTTTTTCTGACCCAGCTGGAATTATCCATGTTTTTTCTGGTTTAGTTTTCTTCCAGAGTCTCTGCTGAGCTGGCTTACAGAGGAATGAATGGTAGAGATGGCCCTGAGAACAGTGTGTGACCAGGTGTGGGGAGGGTGGGGGCGGATTATTTTGCCCCCTCATATATAACTTAACCCAAAAGATTCTTGTAAATTGATGCCATGCAAAGCATCCAGAGTACCCACTGCAAGAGAAAAAATAAATTATGCCCTTGAGACAGTCTCTATCATGCCTGTAACTGATAGTAGCTGAGACAGTCCACTAAGTAGCTTTTAGTCGGTTTGATCCGGACAGGTGACAGGAGAAAAGTGATTTGGGAGAGCTGTTTCCTTGCTGTGTTCCTGATGTTCCTTCATTTGCTTGTACTTTACAGCTCCTGCTCTGGATGTAGACTGGCAGAACAACACTACTTTTGCCTCCTGCAGCACTGACATGTGCATTCATGTATGCAGACTTGGCTGTGATCGTCCCGTTAAAACTTTCCAAGGACACACAGTAAGTTTAAGAAGTCCACAGTATTCATGGTGAAGTCACCACAGCATGTAACAGTGGTGGCAGCAGATGTGTTGGTGTTACATCCCATTGCTCCTGTGAAACCATATTCCCTGGGAGTGACTCACCACATGTGAGAGAGAGAATAAACTGTTCTAAATCACTGTAGGAGGCAAAACCTGCAGCTTAAACAGTTGAGACTGTATGAGCTGCATGAGCTGCAGACTAAGGGTGCATTAATAAATAAGATTTTATTTTCCGCTGGCTTAATTTCCTTTAGTAAATGAGAACTATGAATAAGGAGAGAGCAATTTACCACCAGCCATTGTTCAGTTTTAGAATCAATGTAATCTAATAACATCTATTTAAGATGGATTTTACCCTCTTCTCCTGGTGATTTTTAGTGACTGTCAAAGGCTTGTTTTTCTAGCTTTCAATCATGAGAAAACTGCTACGATATACCGAGCTGTAATTTAGATACTAATTTCCAGAACTTGCTATCTCCTCATTGAGGAGAAATTCTGCATTTGGAGACCTGAATCTAGTCTATGTTTAAACTGATATTTTATGACAGGTTGTGCATTCTTACAATAGACTGAACTTCTTATGATTGTGTGAAATGCACTGTTTTGTAGAGGATGCAAATTTTTATGTAAAATATCTGTACAGTTCCTTCTAAATATGACTGAAACATGTAAAATGGATAAAGCAAAACATGTTTTCCAGGATTATTTTCAATGAGACCTTGAGCCAATTTGTTTTAAAAAAAAATCTTTCCGGTTTTATGAAATGCTTTTATTTGTATGACCCTCAAAGAATCACTGAAGACTTGCTGATTGCCAAGGGGATACACCAGCCTTAGTTAATTACAAAGTGCTGGAAAGATTGGTAGAGAAAGCTTCATAAACTATTCAATATTCAGTGCTTGATTTCATTTCCACGTACACCTCTGTTTAGAGAGAGCAGCATTTTTGTAGAGCTGCAATACCAAGAATTATAAACTCCACAAAACTTTGCAGGCCACCCATATTTTCTACTGAAGATTTGTATCTCCAAGATCCACAGACCATTAACTGAAGAAATAACCTCAATTTAAAAAAGAAGTTAATGCTGTATCATCAATCTGTCTGATTTGAGGGTTTATTTTCATCCTAGCATATGAAGAAAGGCAATGAGAGGCTTTGTGCCAGAACAGGTATCAGAAGACGAATTGTGTGTGTTGTTCACAAACACAAAATGGTTTCCATTCCTAAACTACATGTAGATAACTTGTTCTGGAAGCAGCAGTGCTTTTGTTCACCCATTAAACGGTGAAGGCTGTGATTTGTGGTTGAACTTGTTGCATGCGTAAACCTTGAGTGCCCTCTGCTGGGTGCCTAGTACAATGCAGATCACGGGAATATTTGCTTAATAAAATCACTGTTTATTTCAGAACGAGGTTAATGCAATCAAATGGGACCCATCTGGCATGCTATTAGCATCCTGCTCCGATGATATGACATTAAAGAAAAGAAAATTCCCATTTAAAGACAAATATTATATCTGTTATTTAATCTTTTCCAGAGTGCTGGTACTGTATCACTTAAAAGTCTGCGTGAACAGTAGTTTCATTTTGACCTATATTCTTAAAGCCAGTGTGAAAGATTGAACACAGAGAAGCAGCCACTGGGGAAACTGAGACATCCTTACCGAATAAGTTTAAGTAACTGATATGTCACTGTCACAGAATAGTCATAGTTTAAATATACAGAGATACATATATATATATACACACACACACCTACTTGCCTGGAAACAGATGCAAAACCCCTATGCTAAGAAACTCTCTATTCATCACACTTTGAAAAGAATATAAAATCAACAAGTTTTCACTTTGGGATCTTTTCTTTTCTGAAAGTATTTCATTGGAACTGTTTGATTTAATAGTAAGCAATGGAACAAGACATCTAGATTCAGAGCACACCCAAACTCTGAATTGCTTTCTGAGAATGCCCGTCTGTATCCATTCACTGTATGGGAAGCCTGAGGCAGCTACACTGCTGATGTACATGCCTCTGTTGGGTGCCTGAAGTGATGACTCTGGATTCTGGCTGGCAGGCAGCATAGGTTGCTTTAGCAGCCCACCTGGCCATTGCACTGTACCAGCTAAGTATTGCTGATACAGGGGGAGGCTGGGCTTGCAGAAATTGTTTTCACAGTAGAGCTTTTCTAGCCCAAGATTCTCTCAGTCTCATTCTCCTTTCCCAGACACACTGAATGAAGGCTGTGTCCACACAGGAATAGCTGTATTTTGTAACAGCAAAGCCCTCCTGGTGGACTTTTCACTTATGCTGGTTCCTTGAGCGAAGCAAACATCCCAGAAAAGGTTTGGCTTGTGGATAGAGTTGTGCCAGTCATACAGATTTCTCATGGTGTAGTAGTGTTAAGGCTGATATCTCTTTCTACTGCTGACTGACACAGCTAAAGAAGGAGACATTTGTAGCATGCCCACAGCCTTTGTATAAGAACTGAAACTGAAACAACAGCAAAACTTGAAGAGTTAAGTGAGCATCAGCATTATGAATGTTTATTTTCATAGGTAGCCTGAGTTCTACTGAATTCCACTGTTCTTGCCACGTACCCACTCAGGTTTTCATCCCTCTGGATTCTAGATGTATTCTGAATTGTTCACAGAACTGAAAATTCACAGAAACAGGGTTAGAAGGGACTGAAAGAGGATACTCTGTTATGCTACCACAGAGCAAGGGTCATAACCAGTATTGCTCTGCTTAAACATCCTGGTTCAGTGGTAGCACATCTTTTTGGCGCCCAGTTGCATGCTGTGTTTTAAAAAACACTGTGGCTTAGTGTTGTTGGAGCCAGTTCAAATTTCTGACCACTGAATTTGGCACCAGAGCTAATGGTTTGCTATGCCCAGCCTCGCCTGTTTTTAAAAACCTTCAGTGATGGACACTGCAAATCCTTATCATTATTATTCTTCCTTTTCCTTTGGAAATCAGTCCTCTCTGGTTTGTGTTTTTTTTCCTTTTTCTGCTTTGTTGTTGTTGTTGTGGGGTTTTTTTGAGTTTTTGTTACTTTCCTTCAACTTCCTGGAACGTATGTTGCCTGTTAGCCATAGAACACGGCCAAAATTTGTGTAACATTTCCAAAAGCAGACTCAGGTATGCTGTTGAAAATTCACTGTAAGAGCACATAATTTCCCTCATAGTGCAAACTTTTAACAGATGAGTTAAAACATTACTATATTTTTTATCTCTCTCTGAATTCCACTGATGAACTTGGAGTTATTTTCCCTGCTGTGAAATAGCTTCATCTTGTTTTCTCAGTTTGCTGAAGAAAAGATGTGCTAAATTACCTGTCATATTTTATATTTTTTTTTTTCTCATACTGAAGTATTTGGCCATGTAATATTGCATAAGTAGCTGATCTTGTTCCATTGTCTATGCAGTTAAAAACATCAGGAAAACAAATGGAGTTCAGGAGGAAAATTTAATAAGGTTCTTGACTGGCATAAGAGAAAATTATTAGGTTCTAAGCAGTTACTGAAACTTTATTTTCATTCTCTAAAATGACTGCTGTTGCAGAGTGTGACTTAAACGTCTCTAAACAGAGGAACTTCAGCTTCTCTATGAAAATACAGTTACAGGCTATGGGGTGGTGAGGCAACTATTTAGTTTTTCTGATCTATTGAATAAATGCTATTAAATGTGCAGCTCTTTTTCCTAATGGGGTTATTCTAGCATGTGTGCATTGTAATAATAGGATGTGGGCGATGTTAATAAACTGAAATTATGTGTCTGTATGTCATGATCTTAAAATAAATAAATGGTAAGAATAACACAGAACTGAAATAATTCAGCTGAGGAGATTAGTAATGTTGCATTTTTTCCCCTTCATAATTACTCTGACTTAGATTTGGAGTATGAAGCAAGATACCTGTGTACATGATCTTCAGGCTCACAGCAAAGAGATTTATACTATCAAATGGAGTCCTACAGGACCAGGCACCAGCAACCCAAACTCCAACATCATGTTAGCAAGGTAAAAATACACCTCTTTCTGTTGTCTAGCAAGAAGAGGGATCATCTTTCTGATGTGTAACTCTACTGTTACCTTGCTGTCAGTCTTCCCACAGACAATTGCAGTAAAAAGCACCTGCATTTGTAAATCAGAGAGATGGATAGAAAGGGACAGGAATCGTATTTGAAAAAGGAAAAATAAGAAGAAGGAAAATCAAGTCATATGATATTTAACTTTTCAGCTGTCTTGATAGGCATTGCACCTTCATATCCAGCATCCATTTTTTATGGATGCAGGTAGTCACTGAGACAGATGGCAGCCCCTGCAGCCAGCTGGAGTGTGTTGTAACCATGGTCATGCAACTCACTTGTACAATTTTTATAGCAATTTCTGTTAACTAACTGAAAAAAAGCTTGATAACCTCTAAAACTCCTCTTGAAAAATTGTTCCAAATTCTTTTTTGAGTTTAGGAAATTTATGTACTTGTAGAATGCCAATTGATGGTAGTAGCATGGGACTATCAAATCAATTTGTGTTGTATTCAGTTTCAGGAGGAGTTGTATTGAAGCTGTTTTAAGTATTTTACTTCTTAGTCTTGGAGTGGACAGAAAAGAACTTCACTTCCTTGAATTGTTATTTTAATACTGCTTTTAATACCAAGTATTTCCCTTGCCTTTCTCTAAGCCCATAGTTTTGGATTTAGATGGATTGTAGCAAAAAGCAGCAGTGAAACAAAGGCAACCTCAGTTCTAGAAAATTACAGAATACTAATTCATTAAATAATAAATTAATGAATTCATAAAAATGCAAATTGATTAGAAATAACATCTCTCAGTACCATTTACACATTTATTTATAAAATATGTATTTGAGCTTCCTGAATATTAGCAAGTAGAATCTCAAAAGGAAGAGGAGCTCAGCCTTTTTGGGGATAGTGATCTGATCCTACCCAGTGCCCAAGGTAAACTCAGAGGATCTGCATACAAGAATTCAGTTCTGCAGATTCAGTTCTTGTCATTACAAACATAAAGACTTGTCATGAATATTGGGTTTTCTGTTTGAAACAATTCTTTTTTGCTTAACTAAGGCAAAAAAAACTGTGGTATTCTCTTAAGATGTTTACAGTATCAAACTAGAAATTGATTAACACCCAAATTAAGACGTGCTTGTGTTTGAATGCTTCTTGCAGTGCTTCGTTTGATTCCACTGTTCGGCTGTGGGACGTTGACCGAGGAGTCTGCATCCATACGTTAACAAAACATCAAGAGCCTGTCTACAGTGTAGCTTTTAGTCCTGATGGAAAGTATCTAGCCAGTGGGTCCTTTGACAAATGTGTCCATATATGGAATACTCAGGTACTGTGAAACACATCTGGTTTAGATGACACATTAATAGCAAAAGCTTTAATGGAAAATATATGTACCCTCTGTAAGTGTATGACCTGCCAGCCAGGGTGAATCTGATTGTATTGACTGATACAAATCCCAGCATAACAGTTGAGTCACTCAGGTGGAGTGAGGTGACTGTCCAGAACATTTTTGCTCAGGCTCTATTGTATGCCAAACACCAGCCTGAAGTAAAATAGGTACACAAGCTTCATGAAGCAAAGGGGTGGATTGATTCTTAGAAATAAGTGATGTTTTATAGTGATCTTTTATTTAGTAACAAGCTGAGTTTAGTTGTGAGTCCAATGCATCTGGCTTGTACTTTGTGATGAAAAGATGATAGACACAAAGGGTGTACAGACTGGGGATATAATGGAGACAAAGGAATACCATAGTTCCACAGATTTAATTCCAGATACTGCTGTCTCACAGCCTGAATTAACAACAAACTTCAGGAAACACAACCTCAGCCTAACTCCCCAGGCCTTTACTGTTATAAAAGTTGACAAAACCAGAATCCTACTGTAAGTTGCTTTCTGGAGGAGCTTGTTTTGTTTCATTATCAAAGACCAGTTTCTTAACTTCAGCACCTTATGGAAATGACCATAGTTGGGTGATGTGAATAGCCCCCCCTCACCACCACTCTCTTCTTTTTAATGTAGTGGTGCCATATATCTGAGAAAGAGAAGAGAGGACAACAGAGGAAGAGAAGGGGAACTTCTGTATCAAATGTTTTTATGTTGTTTTGCTTTGTAGAGTGGAACTCTAGTACATAGCTACCGAGGCACCGGGGGCATCTTTGAAGTCTGCTGGAATGCTAGAGGAGACAAAGTGGGAGCAAGCGCATCAGATGGATCGGTAAGAAGCTTTACACATTGTACGTGTTGGGTGGAGATGACTCTTCTGGAGAGGGTCAACAAAAACCATACATGTCATGCTGCCTTCTCTGAACAGAGCTGAAGGCTATGCAGCTCAAGAGAGAAATAACTAGTTCTGGGAAGCATAGTAAAAAACACTCCTGCTTTGGAAAGTTTTGAATACTAGTATGTGGTGTTCCTGGTGAAAATTAAGAATAATCCCGGAATAGGTAAATACTGCTGAAAATGGGAATTACTTTAATACACATATTTGATAAGAAATCAGTATTTTTATGTCTATAATTATTTATCTCTACTGTTAATTTTTAGTGAAGGTCAGGGCACAGCAGTCAACTATCTAAAACAGTAGTCCTAAGTTTCTAAGTTTTATCCCACAGACGTTTACCCTTGAATAGTATCTAAAGGAGGAAATTTACAGGATGATACCCATAGATTTCATGATAAAGAAATATTGCCATAGGATACTGATTATTCATTACCATTTTTACTGTTACTTTATAAAAGCTTCAGTAGTACCATGATCAGCTAGTGGAGGATGCACAGATGTTCTAACACACTCTGCAGCTTTTTAAAGTAATTTCACAGTTTGACTCAGGATCGGCAATTAAACCAGCGACAACAACACTCTTGATCCCCTCTCCCTTCCACCCAGGTAGGGAAGGAGAGAGAGAATGAGGGAGAGAGACTCTCTGGATTGAAAACTAAACTAGACAGCTTTAATTAAATGCTAATGATAAAAGAAAATATGTACAAATGTGTTCAGGAATGTGCAAAAGCCTCTTACCTCCCCCCACCTCCAGCAATTCCCACAGCACTCTTCCTGGGCTGTTAACAGCCCCAAAAAATCCCGGAGCACTGCCAGAGGGAGTGGCAGAGCAGACAGGAGCTGAGTGCAGAGTGATGAGGGTCAGGAGATTCACAAGCCTGGGGGTCAACAGTGATGGATGGACGGAGTCCTCCCCGGACACCGGCCATGGACAGAAGAGAAGGGAAGAAGAAGCAGGAAGGAAGTTGTCTTCTGTGATCTCTGACCTTCCTCTGAGCTTACGTAGATATATGGAATGGAACATCTCTGGCCAGTTTTGCTGTCTGTCTAACTCAGCCTCCTACTTTAATACACATATTTGATAAGAAATCAGTATTTTTATGTCTATAATTATTTATCTCTACTGTTAATTTTTAGTGAAGGTCAGGGCACAGCAGTCAACTATCTAAAACAGTAGTCCTAAGTTTCTAAGTTTTATCCCACAGACGTTTACCCTTGAATAGTATCTAAAGGAGGAAATTTACAGGATGATACCCATAGATTTCATGATAAAGAAATATTGCCATAGGATACTGATTATTCATTACCATTTTTACTGTTACTTTATAAAAGCTTCAGTAGTACCATGATCAGCTAGTGGAGGATGCACAGATGTTCTAACACACTCTGCAGCTTTTTAAAGTAATTTCACAGTTTGACTCAGGATCGGCAATTAAACCAGCGACAACAACACTCTTGATCCCCTCTCCCTTCCACCCAGGTAGGGAAGGAGAGAGAGAATGAGGGAGAGAGACTCTCTGGATTGAAAACTAAACTAGACAGCTTTAATTAAATGCTAATGATAAAAGAAAATATGTACAAATGTGTTCAGGAATGTGCAAAAGCCTCTTACCTCCCCCCACCTCCAGCAATTCCCACAGCACTCTTCCTGGGCTGTTAACAGCCCCAAAAAATCCCGGAGCACTGCCAGAGGGAGTGGCAGAGCAGACAGGAGCTGAGTGCAGAGTGATGAGGGTCAGGAGATTCACAAGCCTGGGGGTCAACAGTGATGGATGGACGGAGTCCTCCCCGGACACCGGCCATGGACAGAAGAGAAGGGAAGAAGAAGCAGGAAGGAAGTTGTCTTCTGTGATCTCTGACCTTCCTCTGAGCTTACGTAGATATATGGAATGGAACATCTCTGGCCAGTTTTGCTGTCTGTCTAACTCAGCCTCCTATGGGGGGGTCACAGATCTCCCCATAGTGTCTGAGCTGTCAGAGTGAAGGTGCGACCTTGGAGGCCCAGCAGTAACATAAACATTCCAGTGTTATCAGTCCACTAGCTGGAACACTTGTTGCTAGTTAAAAGAGAGCCTTCTGAAGGAAAAAAAAACAACAGTAAAAGGAAAATTGGCTTCATCCTGTATAAGAACACAACTTCCTTATTACCCTCAGAAATGGTCCTTAATGCTGAGTCTTTTCTCTCCAGGTTTGTGTTCTAGATCTGCGGAAGTAAAAGTGAAATGTTTTAGAAGAAATTTCAAATGGACCAGCAGTGAATGTGTGGGGAGAAGCACTCTTCAAAACTATTCTTAACAGCTCCAGAACTGTACGAACTTGAACAAAGTTAGAGTGTACCGTGAAACCAACTCTCCCTGGCCACAGGTGTCTAGTATTTTGTCCGTAACCTTCATCGAGGAGTAAAAACACAGTCACTTCAGAGGGGGAGGGAATGGTTTCCACCTGGAACAATCAGCCTTGGAAGCGTGAAGCCACCAGCTAGGCATTGCACTGTTTGGTTTGCATCTGAGAACTTGCTCTGATGGCTGGGAAAAAAAAAGCTGTGCCAAAAAAAATAATAAAAAAAAAGAAAAAAAAAAAAGAAAAATGCTGTGATAAACCAAAAGGGAAAAAAAAAATCCTCCTCCATGCGGTGTTGTATTTTTTCCTTCCAATTTGGACACTACAGTTGCTCTCCCAAAGGACGTTCAAAGACCAGTTTGTACTGATGAAATGCTCAACTTTGTAATCACAACACTTTCTATTTTCTAGACTACTTTTTTTTGTTCAGTGGTTTTTCTATCAGCTGGAATATTACAGCCTGGAGGACCCCAGGCTTAGGATGAAACTTTTGTTTTCCTTTTGTTTCTCCCTTCCACTCCCAACTTCTCGTTCCTTTTTTTTTTTTTCCTCCTCTTTCTTCTTACCCCTCTTTTTTTTTTTTTTCTTTTTTTCCCTGTATGCCCATAGTAGATGCAGCCAGGTGGACATGACAATGAAAATTTTTGACAGACTGCTTCTCCTCTCTTCTTCCTCTTCCTTTTCCTTTCTTTCTCTCCGTTTAAAAGAAAAAAAAATCCTCCATGCTTCAGATCTTAGCGTCTCAAGGGCACTTTCAGCAAATTGTGTAATAAGTGCTTTATATAAGAATGCAGTGCTGGGGAAGATTTTTACAGGAGAAAGATGACTTTTAACAGAAAGAACCCAGTGTATTTTTGGAAAAAAAAAAATATTTTTTATGTTGAACAGTTTTAAAAGCCAAAAGTGGCCACCAAATGTAGATCAGTTGTGTAATTCAAGCAAAAGGAATCACACAGAGTCCAAGGAACATAAAGGTGCAGTATCCTTTTTTTCTCTCAAAGTGCTATAAGAAAAAATGCCATTTGATAATAATAAATGTCAGTCATTTACTAAGAGTCCTTTTCCAGCAGCCAAGCATTTCTATAGTCTCATTTCATTTTGGGGGCTGTTTTATGATGTATACTTATTAAAAGGGATTCACAAGTTTGAGAGTATAATTACAGCATTCATTTTCTTGAGTCCATATTTTTGTTTATCCTTGGTAGACTGGGGAAAACTCTTGTGTATGTTCTTCCCTCTAGTGATAGTCCACATGTCCTACAAAACATGCGTTCAGCTGCCTGTGGCCTTGCTGAGCAGCATTGTCCTCTGCCATTCATCCCACTCAGCTCTTTCTATTCCAGTAAGTCAGTGGGATTCTACCACTTGGAGGAAGATCTATTGACTGCATCTGTCGTTGTTGAAGAGTCGACTCTTGCCAAGCTCCTGTCCATCCATGCTCAGCACACACCTAGAAGCAGGCTCTTCCATTGCATCTGGCAGTATGTGCTGCTGCTGTCACCCTCAACCATACATGTGTGCTACAAGGCAAACTCTGGGTCTGCATTTGGTCTGACTGTCTGCCCACACAGGTTTAGCCTTGAGGGTGTCCTCAGTGCAGCGCTCAGAAGACAGCGGAGAAGTCTCCATTAGGTGAAAACATAAGGGATATATAAATTGTATCTCGACACATACACCACTACAAAGTTTCAGTGGGTGAAATGATTGGAATGACAAAAAAGACTTGCAAAGCACCACTTCGGACAAGATTTCCTTACTGCAAGCTAGACATCTGCAGGGATGCCTGCTGGAGACTACATAACTCAAAGAGCAAATGATGGATGCAAAGAAGGATGCATAGGCTGAGTTTACTGAAAGTGCCATAAACTATAAGGCAATCTTGGGGTGGTGGCAGCCATTATTTAGATAAATCCTCCAAACTGGCTGACTGAGTCAAACAAGTATCTTTTCTGGCCCCCAGGCTAGGCTAGAATTTGTAGGAGAGTGAAAGACCTGTCAAGCATCATGGCATCATGATGGCATTGTGGAATCCATACCTCATTTATTCTCCTGTGTTTTACTTTCTTTGCACTTGCATCTGCACAATATCTTAGTCCTTCCAATGGAACTAACCATTTCTCCTTTGGAAAGGAGAAAAGAATAAAAAGAAGTAACTGCTAAAAGCGTTATTCGGTCCTGAGATGAAAACAGTTATGTGGATTTTGGTTATTAATGACAGTTAGGCTTGTTTATAGTTTATAGGTATCAAGGATTATTTTCAGTTTTAAATGCATTTATTTGTTAGTTTTAGTTTTCTGCTCCAAGAGCATAGGCTGTGGATGCTCACATGACAGTTTTGCACTGTTTTAGAATAACCACGTGTACCTACTTATTTGAAGTCACTAAAAAAAACCAAAAATAGTACCAGTTTGAGGAGAGACTTGAATGTGAATGCAAAGGTTGAATGTGGTTTTCTAAATCACAGTTGGGTCAGTGGTTTTATTACAAGTCATTGCATGTACACAATTAACTTCCTAAGCTGCTTTTGGGTGGCATTTCTGAGAATAACAGCCAGAAGCTCCCAGGCTGCAGACAAGGCCCCAGCCTTGCGTCTTTCCCTGGAGTGATTCCTGATTAGGCCAGACCTCAGGATTCAAAGAGAAGAGGTTGCTCCATCCCAGTTCAGCAAAGCTGACTGCCTAACTGCATAGCCCATGTGTCATGGTTGTTCCTGGGATAGCTCCTGTAGATAACTTGGCAGTGTCCGTGCTGCCTGTGTCTTTTTCCTTTTTTCAAATTGTCAAAATGCCACCTTTCCTCTGCCCACCTACAGGGAGGTAAGAAGCCAAGAGAAACAAAACTTGAAAATCAGTTAGTTTGGAAAGCCTCTGTGTGAGAGAGGCTGCTGCTCCAGAGAGTTTTCTATACAGACCATCAGATTTGGAAGCAGCATATGTGAGAAACTGAGAAAATTCATATTTCTTCCCTTCCCCAAGACCCTAAAGACTGGAAAATCTTCAAAGATAGTGTAGGAGATCATTTTCAGCTAAGAAGAGCTCAACTATTAAGGAAGGCAGAAGATGTGATAGCAAAGGCTAATCCTAGCCTAGCAGGTTGGTTTCCTTAGGAGATGGGCAATGGGAAAAGAGGAACTTTCCCAGTCTGTAGTTCAACAGGGACATCTAGGCCTCAGCCTGCAGACCTGCCCTTGTTGGAGCTGATTCTCCACTGCTGTGTGGCATCCCCTGGCTCGAAGTGCCTTCCTCCTGTTCCCTTGGAACAGAACAGCATGAAGCAACAGGATGGTGGACTTCATTTTTTTCATACAGTATTTTTTTATAACCTCGTTTATAGTCCTTTGTAACAGAAGTTGTAAAATCTAAGTGACCAAACAGGATTGTGAAACTGTTGAGAGACTTACTGGATTTTTATCGTTGCTGGCTGTCTGGAACTGGCCTCAAAGTGAAAAAAACCCAGTTTATGAAAACCACTTGATTCTGTGGGTTAGGATACTGAACCTTTTATGTAGGAAACACTGGGTCCCTTATGGGGCACTAAAGGGCCTGACTTACAGGGTTATACACACATTAACCCCATGCTACATCTTAGAAATTTCCTTTTAATTTGTTTTAAATAAAAAAAATAAAAAAAAAAAATAGCTAATTTTAGAGCCAAGTGAAGTGCACTTTGTCAAATGTAAGGGTCTGCTTTGTTTTTGGGTTTCTTTTTTCTTTTTCCCTTTTTAATTTTTCCTCCTTTTTTCCTCCTATTGCCTTTTTAAAATATGTGGTTGTCAATTGCAGAAATGTTCTTTCAGCCACTCACTGAAATTCTGAATTCTGGCTTCTGCAGTTTTTATTGTCTGTGTCAGACTTGCAGCCAGACTTGGTTCTCATTTCAGCATTTCCCAGGTTCTGTTGAAACAACATCAACCTTTATTTTGTTTCTCCCCCACCCACACTTTCTTCAAATTCACCTTGTGTATTGTAGCTCATTTGTTTTAAGGAGAGAATCAACAGATCATATTCAGTGTCTTGAATAAATTGCTATATTTTGATATTAGAGAATTCTGTGCGTGTTGTTCCTTATTCTTTCCTGTCTGTTTGGCATCCTGCACTTAAGAGCTGGGCTTGGGTGACTTCAGTTCTAACGTGGTGACACAACCTAAAGGGTCATCTGGCCTGCAGGTACATAGTGATCATGATTGTGCATTTGTAGGATTTTGTAATACACAGAGACATGGACACTCTAGCCTCAAATTTTCTTTACTACAGTTTACCACAAATATCACCACTAACAAGTATGCCTATGATTAAGAAAGCAAATATATATTTATAAATAGGTATTTCAAGCAGTACCCAATGATAGCAGCAGTTGTGTCTATATATAATATAGAGGCTATGGCAAAGTTATTACTAGTGAAGCAAAATTATCAATAACATAACAGCATATATGATAGTTACAGGTGTATCTGTGGCAGGAAGTGCATTTCAGAAGCGGCCAAACCATCTCAGAGTGGAGGACAAACTGGTGGCAGACAGGAGCCCAGCCATCCACCATGGAAGTGGCAGGACAACCCCAACTGGACCCAGACACAGGCTCTGAGGGGAACAACAGTCTCACTTCGAAGATGATTCGTGTCATCTGGAGTTTGGAGTCAGCCAGATGTACACATTGAGGGTCCAAGGTCTTGTAGAAAGTTCACACCTTCTTAAGGAAGGAAAAGTACATGCAGCTCAGGAAGTTCTTACAGAAAGAGCTCTATTTTGGATAGAAATTGAGTCATGTTTGTATCACTGATGCATACAGGCTATAGGACACCACCACTTTTTATGTTTGTTTCTGGTTTTCATCTTTGAAAGCCACTAGATGACAATGATTTCCTGTTCTCTCTGACCAATTTTATATTTTAGGACTTCCCTTGTTCTTGCATTTAGAACAGCAGTTACAAATTCTTGCTTTCTCAGGATGTTTTCCCCTTTTTCCAGACCTTTTCCATACTTTTTTTTTTTTTTTTTTTTTCCCAGATGATAATTTACCATTACAGTTCCCTGGGTTTGTGCCTTTTGAGGATATTTCAAGATGTCTGTGGTTTCTAGGTACCCAGCTGCACTCCAAAGATGCTGTCTGTGTTTCTCGAGGATGCTTCTCGTTCCCAGGCTCCCAGTTCCCAAGCTGGCAGGCAGTGTCTCTCAGTATTTCAGCAGACATGTTCAGTAATTTTTGCTTTCTAACCAGGTCACCAGCATGGCTGCTCACATCACGTTTATTGTTCAGTTTTATTTCCCCACCCCACCATGGTGCATTTGTTGGAAATCTATACAGCTGGTAAGGATGTGATTTATTAAGATTGGATTGAAGTACTTTTTTTTTTAGTTTCCTTTAAAAAGTTTCCTCAAAAGGAAGTTTTTCCAGGTGAAATAAATTAGACTGTAGCTCTCATCAAAGTAAATTGTTATTTTTTCTTTAAGCTAGTGAGGCTTAAATTCAGCCTTGCTTGAGCAGTTGGAGGTTTTTTAAGAACTTCAGAATATTCCAGCTTGTGTCATTGGTTCAGCATTGTCCCCTACGGCAGGAGCTCCCATAGGCACCATCTCATAGCACCTCTCTCTGCTTGGGGCGCTCAGCACTGACACCTCAAAGGATATGGTGGGGGATATTCAGCTGAAACAGGCTGAGTTTTGTGTGATTTTTAGCTGGGTTTTATTCCACAAAATGATACCCATGATAATTAGTGGGGGATTCAACATAAAATGTGGAATTTTTGCTTTGTGACCCTGTAACACACTGACCATTCCCCTAAGCTAAGGTAGAAAGATTGTCAAAAGCTTTCAAAAGGACTTAGTGCTCCAATCAACCACAGTCTTACATGTCACATCATCTGTTTTTTAGGTGTTTCAGGACCTAGAACATTAAGTTAGGATGTATATATAACATTTGGGAAGATTCAGGTGCTAGGAAAAGTGGTGTGCTGCTGCTGCTGAGCGCCTTGCCACATCATCAAATAATCAAAAGACAAAGTCATGCCTTTCCATACCACTTGTCTCAGTTCCTGCTCTGAAATTTGCACAGCATTAATATTACAATT